TCATGAAGCGCTTGATTACCTAAACGAAAGAAGATAATTTACTTTTTTTCTTTTGTTTCTCATCGTTCAGGTATTTTATATTTTCTGCAACTTGTTATGAGATGAGTAGAATGAAATGATTCAGTCTTGTTTTGCTACTATGTTCGAAAATTGACTGAGTAGTGTGAAATTTTCAACTGTTTCGATAATGCTCTCGTCAACATTGTGTAATTTAGGGGTGAGAAGTTATTGTTATTTTTTGTTATTAATAACAATAACAGTAACAAAAAATGTTATTGTTATCAATAACAAATAACAAAAAAAGTTATTGTTATTAATAACAATAACAAAAAAAGTTATTTGTTATTAATAACAAAAAAATAACAAATAACTTTTTTTTTCGAAAAATCTTAGTTATGCTTTGTTACTATGTAAAAGTATACCAGTTCTATTTGCTCATTATTGTCCAATTGCTCGATGATGTTACTGACCGCAATCTCCGTTAGATAGCCTGTGAAACTGAGAAAAATCCTAAAAAGATCTTTTCAAGTATCTTGCTCACCTACAGGTAAAATTTACTAATCGGTTTACGAGGAACGATTCCTCAATGTTCGATTGCCTTTGACTTGATGTTTTGGTCAAATAAAAGTCTTTACGAAATGAGATTCTAGGTGCCAGTTTTAAGAATTATGATCTGTACAATCTTTCTAGACATTTTCTCATCTCCCAAAGGCTTATATTTGACCAACGCATCAAGTCACAGCCAATTGAGCACTGAGGAATCGTTCCTCGTAAAGCAATTAGTAAATTTTGCCTATAGATGAGCAAGATACTTGAAAAGATCTTTTTAGGATTTTTTTCAGTTTCATAGGCTATCTAATGCAGATTGCGGTCAGTAACATCATCGAGCAATCCGACAATAATGAGCAAACAGAACTGGTATACTGTTACATAGTAACAAAGCATAACTAAGATTTTTCGGAAAAAAAAGTTATTTGTTATTTTTTGGTTATTAATAACAAATAACTTTTTTTGTTATTGTTATTAATAACAATAACTTTTTTTGTTATTTGTTATTGATAACTATAACTTTTTTGTTATTGTTATTAATAACAATAACAATAAATTCACACCCCTAGTGTAATTCATAAAGTAAGGGCTTCTGTTTACCGGCTTGGAAGCTTCTTTTAGGTTAGTTTTCACATTGAACGCTTTTGTATAGGAATTCATACACTTTTTCATAAACTTTTGGTGCGAATCATAATACTCATAAAGAGTCTCGCATATCCATTTGATAAATGGTTTTAAGATTATTTGAACGCGATTAGGAAGTTCATGTACCCTTACGAAGGGTTAATGAAAATGTAGCGAATAGCAAACAGTTTCAGAATTATGAAAATTATAAACCCTTTCATAAACCTGTCACCAGTGGTATTCGAAGACTACAAACTTTTTCATATACTCTTTCTAAAGCGTTTATGAAAGGGTTTACAAAGATTTCGTAAACAGTAAAAGAGAGATTTTAATACCTTGCATTGTCAGAAATCCTTTAAAACTGTATTATTCTACGGGTTTGTTTACAATACTTTCTTTTGAAGTATTTTCTTCATATTGAAAGTTTGTCTTAATATAAATACAAGCAAAAAACATATTTCAATGCTGGACACTGCAAAGATTTAAATGAAACCAGTGTCAATCCGCAGAAGCTACGCTTGCAGAAGGACAATTGCAGATTAGTTTGCCCGCGCTCTGATCAATCGAATATGGAAGTCATGTTTCTCAATTGTAGAAACAATATTTTGCCTTTTTATCATACTCAACAAGAGATTATCGCGAGTAAAATATTCAAAATTTGGACTCCATTTTTCTTGAAACTCCAATGGTGACTTAAGAGCCAGTAGAAATTGAGCATATTAAAAAATAGCTCCCTAGGATTGATTCGAGGGGGGTAGCTTCCATCTGAACTTTATTTGCCTATAAATCTTATTCATTGATGAGACGCCAATAGAAATTGAACTCTGAAAAGAAAATTCCAGGTAGAAAGATATTCAAGAAATCGATGTTTCGATTTATTGTTTATGCCGCTTCAAACACTATTCTCAATCTTAAAAGGATGTGGGTTGTGTGATTGAATCAGTATCACACAACCATACAGTCACTCTAATTCGCATATGTAACCACAGCCAAAAACGACGATCCACATTTTTGTTGCTCGCACCCACCCACCCATATCCGAACCCACAAGTCAAGTCACATTCTCACACCCAGCCATGTTGAGAACCACAACCTCACGGTCACCTTCACTGAATTAGTTCATTCTTGCTGACAGTCTGTTTGACTAATTTCAACATCGTCGAATAAATTCATAATTGAAAAGGTGTCTGGATCAAATTGATCCGTTCTATACATATAGTTTTATTATAAATGATTTGTTTATTACCAAATCCATCGATAACTATCTCAGTTAATTGCCGAGTCGATCAAAGCTACTATCTGATCGAAAACAAATGCCACTAGAAAAGGGTTTCACCTGTTCTAATTGGTATCCTAAAGACTGGCGGTTATACCAGTCTCTATATTTTGTTGAACGTTCAGTAGTTTCATTCACTTGCATTCGTAAATTGGTGTGGTTGTGGGAGCTGTTATCTTCACACTGATACTGACACGCAAATACTTTCTTTGGCTAAAAATTAGTTCAATACAACGTTCCTCTGATGACATCTTCTTTCAGCCAGACAACCCGTTTAATCGAATGGATAGACCGTCGAGATGTTAATCAACCCAGCTGTTTATCAAGTCACATGGTAGCCAACTCAAGTGGTTCGAAAAATCAGATGGTTATCGATTGATTCGATAATAAGCAAACTAATTGTAATAAAATTTTATGCATAGAACATATCAATTTGATCGAGATTCTCATTCGGTTATGAACTTATTAGGCAATGTTAGAATCAGTGAAGCAGAGCATTGGCAATAAATTCTGCCAACGGTGTTGGAAAGACAAAAAAGAATTCGACGATGATAGAAATTATCCCAGTACTCACCCAACGTACAAGCACATAACCCCCGATCTAACAGCCATTCACACGCGTATCTACATACGCACGCTTATTGGCTGGACTTCTGAATTTCAGGAATATAATTAGTTGAGAGCCGTATACAGAAAAGCTTTGATTGACTCAGCACTGAATATCATAGACCTCCGAATTATTGAATTTGAGTCATGCAAAAATCTCTATTGTCGATTAGAGGTATTCTAGTAAAATTAAGAATATCGTTTCAAGTCACATCGACAGCTAATTTACACACCCGTTTCTTGAATATCTTTTTATGGGAGCTTTTTTCAAAAACTCGATTTCTATTGGCTCATGGTCCACTAAAAGAGTTTCTAGAAGAATAAAAGTCTATAATATTTTTTATTCAAATTTGAAGGTGTGGGTGCGTAAGAAGAGGAACTTGTGACGCATACCATCATTCCACAGCTTTCGATGATAAAAGAAATTGATTGAGTTACCTAATGTACAAAGCGTCAGCCAATGTCCACATCACACGGCTAAGAATAGATATTACAATAGCATTGATGAAGATGATTAGTGTCATTCATACAATCTTTGGCAGATCGCACAGTATCCTTTCAAAAAAACATAAAGGTTGAAATTGAGCAAAGGAAAACCAGTTTTCTCTACAATTGCGAATCCAAAGCTGGTACAGACATATATGTTATTGGGTTTCGATATTCGAATTCGATTTACTGAAACAAAACTTTGAAGGAAACTGAATGTGCACATCTGATAGGATGACAAGTCATTCTGAGATGGATGCGGGTCCGATTATTCGGGTGAGTGAATACCGGTGTATGGAGTGTAGGTGTTAGTGGATAAGGTTCTCTCCTACATCCACACCCACACATCCATATTCTTCTGGAAAATCAGCTTTATTACTAGAAAAAAAAGTGATCTTCATAAGAAAACTCTGACTTTGTTATGAAACATCAGGTTTTTCAATTTTAAATCCTTAAAAAGACTCGACATTTCAGAAAAAAACTTTTGAAAAACCCATGGCCTTCTATTACCACTTGTGAAAGTTTTCTCCAACGTGGCCTTCTAATGAAGGTGACCTTCTAATGGAATGGCTTTCTGTTCTGACAGAAGATTACGCAGGAACACAGTTTTACAAAATTTTTACCGAGCTTGCTCTCAAAGACTCCATATTCTATCATGATCTGTGAAAATGTTTAGTACGACTCATTTTCATTTCTGATTCTCCGAAGTTGACATGTCTAAACATTCCTTTCATTCGAATGGGATGATTTATTATAAATCAGAATAAGAAAACATCTCTTTCATACTTTCTCCAGATAGAACTTCATCATTACTTAAACGAACTCAACGGCATACACCTAAATGACAACACAAACAGGCAGCACATACTCACCACAGTCACGCTTTTTTGATATTGGACAAGAACCAACAAAAGCTCTACTGCCGATTGAAGGGTATGAATTGACGGAATTAACGTCCCTCGAGAAAGCTGTTGACCCGTTATCTTCAATTGTTGAGGATTTGCCTCGACGCGTTTGGCTTTGCAAATTGAACTGTAGACATCCAGCCGATGGTCTCACCTCTGACGAGTCAGCATCTATCCAGCTCTATACTCTCGAATGGTCTCCAAGTGAAAAGAGTTTGTATTATATTTTAAATAGTGCACTACGCGATAAAAATCGAGACAAACTGAAGCCATGGTTTTCCTATTTGAAACTCTTTCTTACTGGTCTCTACAAACTTCCTTCAGTTAAAGCAACCATCTGGCGAGGCATCAAATGTGATATAAGTCAGCAATTTGAAAAAGATGCTACATTTGTCTGGTGGGGTCTCAGCTCTTGTACCGAATCAATTGACATCCTTAAATCACCGCAATTTCTAGGAACAACAGGAGCCCGTACATTGATATCTATTGAATGCATCAACGGAAAAATGATCAAACGACACTCGGCATACGATAACGAAAATGAAATCTTACTTATGCCGGCATCATGCTTCCAAGTATGCGGTAAAATAAACAGTGGACACGGTCTGAACATTATTCATGTAAAAGAAATTGTACCACAATTTCCACTGATACAGCCACCATTTGTAGGAGCTGGTGAAGGGACGCCGTCGAATCTGCCCAAAGAAAAATGGAACAGAGAAGCTGTTATAGAAGCATTGACTAGGTTGACTGCGAACATAACATTTCTTGACCTTTCTTCAAAGAAAATTACTGATGATGGCTTAAGACCATTGGCAGAAGCATTGCAAAAGTCTTCGTGTCCATTAAGTAATATTGAACTCGAAGAAAATCAAATATCAGCTGACGGTTGCAAAATACTTTGTGAAGCAATACAAATGAATAAAAGTCTGGCTTCACTTGATTTACTCGGAAACCAAATTGGAAACGAAGGTGCCATAGTTTTTGCTGAATTACTGAAAACAAATTCGTCATTAGTAGATCTTGATCTTGCGTTCAATTCTATTTCAGATAGTGGAGCTAAAGCTCTTGGACAAAGTCTGAAACTGAATACAACATTGGGATTGTTGGATGTTTGTGGAAATGACATCGGTAGTGATGGAGGCATCGCTTTGGCAGAAGCTCTTAAAATGAATAAATCATTAAAGTCATTAAGTCTATTTAAAAATCGAATTGGTGATAATGGCACGATAGCTATTGCTGAGAGTCTCAAAGTCAATAAGGTGCTTGTGACATTAAATCTTGGTGCAAATTTGATCTCTGATGAAGGTACTGTCGCAATAAGCAATGCACTTAAAATGAATACGTCATTAACAACCCTCTGTTTGGATGTCAATGAGATTGATGATCAAGGCACAATAGCTCTGGCTGAAACGTTGAGAGTTAACAAAACTTTGACAAGTTTGAATCTATGTCAAAATCGCTTCTCCGATGCTAGTAGAAGAACTTTGGCACAAGCTTCTAAAGTACACCGTACCCTTGTTAATTTATTTTTTAATTAAACATAATTTTTTGTGTCGTGATTTCTAGTATTTTTCCATTTTTTTGCAAACCAACCGATATTTACTCTGCAATGTAAGGTGATCCGTAGATCATGATATTAGCTTTCTTACAAAACTGCCTTTTCGCTACAGTGATAGGAATGTCGTGATCAGTTTGGAAGCGAGTATGGTGATGCATATGGCATTTGATGAAGTGCGGGTCTGGTTATCGTAGTGCGTGTATGTGTGGAAGTAGATGCCGGTGTGAATGAATGTGACTGTGTTGTAAGTTCTGGTGCGGATATCGGTAACGTATGTGTACATAGGTATAGGTGCAAATATAATGGAACTGAGGGCTTTTCTGTGCGTGTCAGTCGGCGTAAAGATAAGTGTGGATGTCGCTATAATAGTGCGCAAAGGTGTGAGTGTGACCGTAATAATGCTACGACTGTGGGTTTCTGAATATGGCTACGTTGACCCGGCTGTTGGTGCAAACAAAGCGGATACGTCATCCTTTTATCTACACCCATATTTGCAGCCATGCATTTGATCATAATCCAAAAACTTCTGTCATGAATTGAGGTGATATCACTTTGATGAATGCTCGTGGGTGAGTGAGAGTGTATGGGTGTGAGTGTGAGTGTTGCTATGTGCAGGATGTCGATGTGAGAATGTGAAGATGTGATTTGGAACAGATTTCTGTTGATCTTCTCTCCATTCACACTATGCATCCGCACAGTACAAATATATTAAAACAATGTCGCTTAGAGAGACAGAAAAATTCTGTTGTCGCAACGGTGATTTTTCTTTTCTATAAACAGTTTTAATTGGAAATTTTTCAAAGTAGTTATTCCGCTAAATACTCGCTGGGCAAATATTAGTTATGTGCATTTCACTCTGTGTACATTGATTGTAGTGGCGACACTGAATAATGCATTAAGCACGTGAATATTTCGTAAAGTTGGAGTAAGGCACGATATCAAGCTGCAATTATTCCAAGGCATGAGTGTGTCGTAACAATTGGCTAATATTTGATATGGATACAAGTCTTAACATTTTGTTGCAATCTTTTAGTATAGCGAATTGTTTTGTAGTTTATTAAAAGTATGATCTCGAATGTAGTCTGTTCTTTACGAATTTTCTGTAGTTTACTCCTGCTCTTGCACTAATTTTAACACATTATTACACAAACTACAGGAGGCGAATGGACTGATTAAACTATGCTAATGTATTTCTCTCTGCTTATAACATAAAAATGTCATCTTTTTCTTTCGAGTCATTCAATAGATTTCGATTTTGGCGACGTATAGTTACTTGCATCGATAAGACTGGGTTGTGATAAGAATGATACGAACATGTTGTGCCTTTTTGCGTTCTTCGTTCGTTCTCGATCAATTAATCTTCACATTGTTTTTCTGCATTCTGTAGTATGGGACAGAATCACATACTGCGTCCGTAGATAACAAAAGAAAAACAGCGGATAGCATACAATAGCGCTCTAAAAGTGAGAAGATATTGAATTATATTGGATGCCTTACTTACATAATTTTTTTTTTCGTTTTTTTTGTCTAGTCGAAGCCTCATGTCTTGCATATGGGTGTTGGTCTTCTCTTCATCCACACACGCTATAAGTTCTTTTCGTTCTTCTCTTTTATTTTACAATAAAATTTTATGTCTTTAATTGAAGCTCACATCGTTCGATTTGCTATGACAAACACCATTGACGGTTGCTTTTTTTTTCATTACAGATAAATATCAACCTTATTATACTTTACAACTTTCAATTGCAGTTTGGCCAAGTTGAAATCAAGTAGTGGGTCTGAATTTCATCATTTCAGCTGTTTCTCTTCATTTATTCCCATCGACAAGAAAAAAAAATATATGGAGTTTTACTGATGATTCGAAAACAAAATCTTGATGATACCCGAAATAGAGAATATCGACAAGTGAACAGTAGAGAAATACAGACGAAATCAAGAGCTATATCATTCATCCGCATGTACATAGATAATATTTGATTGTAATTTTGCTCTCTGATGCATTTACAATCACCGGGCATGTGAACGCTATATTACAAAAAAGTAGGAATAGGGAGGATTTTCATTGACAATTTTTAGGAGGATCTGGCATGGAAAAGGAGGAAAAAAGGAGAATTTCTGTTTTCTCGGGAGAAAAGAAATTCTAGTCTAATTCAAGCTCATTAGTACTTTGAAAAGAGTAATAAAACATTTAATACAATTTCAAGAAATATTTATTTATAAATTTCAAATAAAACTGAAAAAGTAATCGCTCAGAACAAAAAAGTCACTATCACAAAAAAGTTACATGACTTTACAATACCATAAACACAAATTTTAATTACCATATATATTTTCGTTTCTGGTTAACACTGGTTCTACAGTTAACTTACATTTCTTTTTTGGTGGTTGACGCTCAGCTTGAGCACGTTTTTGTTGAATTGGGTGTGGGTGTAGGTGGGTGTGGGTGTGGGTGTGGGTGTGGGTGTGGGTGTGGGTGTGGGTGTGGGTGTGGGTGTGGGTGTGGGTGTGGGTGTGGGTGGGGTGTGGGGGTGGGTGGGGTGTGGGGGTGGGTGTAGGGTGTGTGGATGCCACTGAATGGGATAATAGTATCAACAACCAGAACCACATCAAAACACCCCACAACCCGAACCTACACCCCACACCCACACCCAGACCCAGATCCAGACCCAGACCCAGATCCAGACCCAGACCCAGACCCACACCCACACCGACACCCACACCCACATCCACACCCACACCCACACCCACCCACCCACACACTCACACCCCACACCCACCCACACCCACACCCACACCTACCCACACCCACACCCACACCCCACCCTTAAAATTAACAGAAATAAGTTTATTCCGAATAACGATATAATCAATACAAATCCTCATCTCACTATTACGTCTTCGACAGAGAAAGCCTAAAAAATGAAATCCACTATACAGAGTTTTTAATCATAATGTTAAAAACTTAAGTTTGTTTATACAAGATGATTCGAAAGCTGCAAAAAGTTATTATATTTCGCAATAGATCAAAACAGTTTATAATTAAAATTTCTTTTTTCAGTCAAGAACAAACGTTCATTAGGATAGATACATCATCAGAAAATTGATTAACTATTGCCAGATCTAATTTGCTATCTTTATTGAAATCACCTGCTACCAAATACAATGGCTTTCGGCCAGTCACATATGTATACTGCATTGGAAAACTTCCATCTGCATTTCCTAACAAAACTCGAACATGATTTTCATCATAACTAACTACTGCTAAATCCATTTTGTTATCATTATTGAAATCACCGGATATTATAGACTCTGGACGACTACCAACTGTATAATTTATTGCAGTTTCAAAACTTCCATCACCTTTACCAAGTAAAATGCTGATACTATGGTTACCAGAGTTAGCTACTGCTAAATCTATTTTATTATCTTTATTGAAATCACCACATGTTACAGAAGATGAATTTATACCTGTTATATATTGATACTGATTGTGAAAGGTTCCATTTTCAGTACCAAGTAATATACTAATAGTATTTTCACCATAGTTGGCAACTATCAAATCAAGTCTATTATCATTATTCAAATCAATTGTTGTAAGAAATTTCGGATTGATACCACTTGTATACTTGGTTTGATTATGAAATGTCCCATCTCCTTTGCCAAATAATATGCTTACATTATTTTCTCCATAATTAGCAATTGCCAAATCGAAATACTTATCATTATTAAAATCACCTGATGTTACTGAAGATGGATTCATACCAGTTAAATATCTTACTTCATTTTGAAAGGTTCCATCTCCATTTCCGAACAATAAACTGACAGTATTTTCCCCTTGATTAGTGACTACTAGATCTAAGTTGAGATCATTATTGAAATCATTCGAAAAAAGAGAAGATGGTCTAGTTCCACTTCCAAAATGTTTTCCACCATAAAAGTTTCCGTCTCCATTACCCAGAAAAACATCAATAGTATTATCAGCTGAATTAGTTGTAGCAAGATCTTGTTTGTTATCATTGTTGAAATCTCCTGATGCTATGGATGATGATTTACTGCCAGTATGATATGTTGTGTATAATTGAAAGCTTCCGTTTCCATAGCCGATGAGTACGGTAATAGTATTGTCAGCTTCATTTGTAACTGCCAGATCGATTTTAGTATCATTGTTAAAATCATCCAGTATAATAGAAGATGGTTTCCTTCCTGTCGTATATGTTACCTGTGATTGAAAATTGCCGTCACCATACCCGAGTAATATGCTGATAGTTGAATCTTCATAGTTAGTTACTGCCAGATCAGAATGGTTGTCATGATTGAAGTCGCCTGATAATAATCGTTGTGGACCATCACCAACTGTATAGTAAACATAATTCTCGAATGTTCCATCTCCATTACCATGCAAAATGCTAACAATATCGTTGTAGTAATTGGTTACAACCAGATCTAATATATTGTCATTGTTCATGTCACCTGATATAACAGCTTTAGGAGTATTACCAGCGTTGTATTTCGTGTGACTCTGAAAGCTTCCATCATTATTACCAATCAAAATACTAACGGTTTTTTCATATGAGTTTGCAACAGCTAGATCAAGGTTATTATCATTATTGAAATCTCCTGATGTTAAAGAATATGGGCCAAGTCCAGTTCGATATGCCTTATCGCTCTGAAACGTGCCGTCTCCATTACTAAGTAATATACTGACAGTAGCACTTCCCTCGTTGGTAACCGCTAAATCTAGTCTATTATCATCGTTGAAATCAGCTGCTATCACACATGTCGGATAGACGCCAGTTAGATATTTCACTTGAGTCTGAAACGTTCCATCACTATTACCAAGCAATATACTCACAGAATCTTCATAATAATTTGCTACTACTAAGTCAAGTTTGCTATCATTATTCAAATCATATGATATCACAGAATAAGGATTTGTTCCTGTTGCATATTCATACTGAAATTGGAATATTCCATTTCCATTATTAATCAATAGATTAACTTCATCATCTTGTTGATTGGTTATTGCTAGATCAAGTTGTTTATTATTGTTGAAATCACCTACTATTACACATACTGGAGAATTACCAATTTTATAACTTATTGAAGATTTATATGGATTTGTGCATATTTCTACATAAATGAAACAATATTGTTAAATAAAATATGAGATAATGTGTAGAACTATAGCAACAGTGTATCTATGGATACTTATTGAAGTCTCCAGAGTTACATCATATTCCTTTTTCTTGAGCTGAAAATAGAATGAAAGGACATACTTGATGAGTTATTGACAGATCGATTAGACCTTGATCCCAGAATAGAACCTAGAATAGTCACTATGATAGTTATGACCATGAAGAAACTAGCTGATATAAGAAATCGTTTTTTGGTGTACCATCGACGTTCCAATGGTCTAATAAAATTCATAGAAGAGAAAGAGTTCGATAAAGATTTACTAAAACTTACTTTATCTTTGGATAAAGAGAAGCACCTGTAAAGATAAACATGTGTATTGAAAATAATTGAGTCAAAATACTCAACAGTTACTAGAAACTAACTCTATAGAGAATACGAGATGTTGAATATGTACTGCATAATTTGTTTTCTGATAAAATTGAAGGATTTCATTGATAGAATTAATTTTGATGGTAGGTCAAACAAAAACACGCTAAAGTCTCGGACGCTGCTTTGATAAATATGATTCTTTAGATTTTTTTCGCTTGCTAGTACAATAGTGCTGTAAAAACTGCGAAATATTGAATATCTTGAGTATGCTAATGTCGGCGGTCAATTTGATGTAACACTGATAGATGCTTTATCTCGTAGTAGAAAGTAGTCAGATAAATAAGATGGAGTTTTCTGATAAGCTTTACAGAAACTAGAAAAGTTGAGAAAATATTTTTGATACCAACATAATTAGTGTCAGAATTGAAACTATCTGAGATATTTGCAAATATAAACTATTTGTTTTAGATGAACGGAGATTAAATTATTTTTGCAAAAAAAAATGTTTGTTTTTTCTTCAATACTCACATCAATATTGAGGATTAGCACTGTTAGTTCTACATTATTTTCAGAATGAAGCATTGGAGAATGTAGGACATTTTGCTCTTAGTTACGAAATTATTGATCAAAAGAACTGTACAAAAGAATGAATCCTTCTTTTGATGCCATTGGAGTAGAAACACTAACATACATACGATGGGCACAACTGATGAGTCTTATGCGCACAGTTATTTATTTACGGACATTTACCTGAAATTGAGAAAACCACAAATGAGAGATGAATCAATATTTTTGAATTGAAGAAATTTTCATTATTTGATAGAAATATAGAGAAACTACGGCTCAAATCATCATTTACTCTAGCTATTTCACACTAAAACATTATAAAACCTTAATCATATAAAAAAAGATCAAGTATTCGTAATCTATAAATCCAATTCCGATCAAATTCCTTCCTTATTGTTCTATTTTACCTTCGAATGGAGGTTCAAGTAACATTGTTTCAGGCATCACTTGTTTCAAATGAATAACATGAAGATCAGGTGCAGGATTGAAGTATGATTGTACTTCTAAACATGTTCCTGGTAACATTAATAATTCATCTTCATGATCAAAATAAGAATGATATCGTATATTTCTAGCATTGAATGCTTCAATAGAAAAGAGAGTTCTTGTACCTTCACTACCTAAATATAGATCATTTTCTAATACAGGAAGACTTGTAGTACACGATGAGAAAGACCACCAAATTATTTTAGTTCCATGTGAAAAATTTTGACTAACATTTCTTCTAATTCCACGCCAGATAGTTTTTTGTGGTGCACATTCTATTTTAACTAGTGCAGTAAGAAAAAGTTTTAAATATTTGAACCATGGTTGTAAATGTTGATGATCTGTTGTTCTAAGAGTTTCATTGAGAATAGAATAAAGACTTCTTTGTCCATCATTCCATTCCATGGTATATAGATGAATTGAAGCTGATTCATCACGAGTAAGATGATCAGATGGTGTATCTGGAGTATGTTGGAGAGCAATCGAAACATATATTAATATATCGAAAACAATCGGAACTAATGGTGTACATGCTTCAACAAGTGGAAGAAGTGGTTCGTTAGCATAACCAATAATAGGACCAAGTATTTCTGAATTTTCTGCATATGGAATTAGAAGACGATAATTTACTCTTCGAATCTGTAATTCGTTACTGTCACTCATTTGATCATATATGCACCTGTTGTAGTTTATATTACAAAATGAACTATTCGTTGCTTTTTTTTCTTATGAAGTATACTGGAGTAAAAAGAAAAAGCGGAAAATATCGTCTTAAGGGTATCCAAATGCTATATCAACTTTAGTATTCAACAATGAAAAATGAAGCACTACTTATACCAAATTGATATAAAATGATTTCAAATGTAAGAAGATTTTCTAAAATATTTAATATGAAAATTGAAACGATATGAATAAATGAGTTTATCTAATTGCTAACGATATTATAAAAATGTCATAAAATCATAAGCATCGTAAAATATTGAATTGTAAGAAGTTCACATTTCTTTCTTTCAAATAATCATACACTATTTATTTGTCATGAATCAGACCATAAATACAAGAGAGAGAATATAATTATATATTTCAATAAGATTTATTATTCACTTCGATAAAAAGAAAAAAAATATATATTATTCATTCGAGTACCTTGCAAAATATCTACCGTAAAAAAAAAGAGATTTATGATAACTAGCGTAATAACAAATGTATGCGTATCAGAATAGAGGACCATATTTTACTTGACATAAACAATTTCAAAAGTTCATCTAATTATAGATAATAATGTTTGAATACACTGCAAGATTATTTTATTTTCATGTAAACGAATCTGTGATAACTCTCACAAAAACGCATGCCATTTAAACTATGTATTGAGAAAAAAAGTAGAATGAAATAGCTAGAAACTTAGTGAAAATAATATACACGAAATATTGTTTATATTATAGGTGAATATGCTATTCAAAGATTGTGAGATGGATAGTTGGCATGAGGGTGTGGGTGTGGGTGTGAGTGAGTGGGTGTGGGTGTGGACAGTTCTAACCTGAAACACCCACACCCACCCAGCCACAGTCACACTCACACCCACACCCCACACCCACCCACACCCCATCCACGCCCACACCCAACTTTGCTGCATTTTATTCATTTCTTATGTAGCCAAAAATCGTATAAATATCCTTAATAGAATCCTATGATTTGCCGAGCGACAAAATCGATTTCAGAAATCATCATAGAACTGAATATTTGGTAGATAAGTTGAAAGAAAAATCGATTTTATTATTGTGTTTGATCTAAAAGAAACGATTAGATGGTATTTTTCCGATCTATTTTTGTCTAAGCTTGAACTGAATCTAAAACAAGATTTCTATAATATCAAAACTATAGAGATTATTGTTCTATAATTTTTCAATGATTTAATGGATATTGATCTGATAATTCATTTTAAAAATGTAACGTGAAGAGTAGTTATTTGGTAGAAGGAAATTGTTGATATTCAATATTTGTTTGATGTGTAAATAAAACCTCAATTTCGATAAAATTTTCAATCCAATCCAATAAAGTTAGAGAGGGTCGTAAGTGGGTTCGATGACTACCTTCGATTTCAGCCTGAAAGTCCATGAAGACTGTACATTTACGAAGGGTCCGCCTTCTCAGAAAAGTCGATTTTTTGACAAAGATATGGTGGCGAGATTTGTACATATATTGATAGTTTCTGCAATGGACTATAGGCTGGCATACTTTTTTCGTCACAGCAAGAAGACTAATTTGTTTCTGATGGTCACTTATCTGACGAATATCAACTTGCACTGTATGAAAATTTTTGAATTTCTCTTATGCTGAAATAAAAAACGTAAATCTTCTATTTTGATTAGCGAGTTTTTTGCCATGAATTCGAGAATTTTTGGAAGAAGATTTTTTAAAGAACAAACAAAGGGATATTTGAAATTTGGGCTCTACCACTACCTAGTCCTAAGAGTGCTCTACTATTTAAAAACCACCCCACCATGCTGGTTCTTGTCCTCGTTGTGACAACTTTGCCTGCGTAGAGGATACTTGAGGATGTAGGTGTGGAGTACCAAAACAACAAACACCCACACCCTCAGAATTGATCGATTCTACTAATTACGTTTTATCGTATATTGTCATTTGAGATTTTATAGAATTCGAGTCAGAAATAAATTTGATAACATGTAATAGTTAGTTAGTGAGTTCTATTAAACAATTGACAATGAATTTTAGTCAAGGTTCCGAATGGAACTCGGAGACAAAATGTTTTCGTACACTTTGCTTAACTTAGTAAAATGTACGTGTACACTTAGCTTTCGCAAGCAAAAGGTAGCAAAGTGTAGACGTCGAAATTTTCTCGTATAAGCTAAAAAAAAAAAAAAAGAAAAAAGGTGTTCATGTATATCTTAGAGAAAAGAAAAAGAAAAATTAACCGATAGTAAAATTGATCAAAAGAGGTCGTGTTGTACATTTTATACTTCATTGATAGAAATATTAATTCATATGCAAACAGATTTTTGGATCAAAAACAAAGTGTTATTTTCGTAAGCACAGTGTATTGCGTACACTTTGGTTTCGTCAGCAGTGTGTAAAACAGAGTGTAAATTCAATTTAGCAAGTGTTTCGTACACTTTGATTCTGCTTGGTACCCTTGCTATTCGGAACCTTGATTTTAGTTACTTGACATTAGATCGAGTTTCAGCACAATTTTTTCCGAAATTAATAGTAAAGACAAGCTCGATATGAAAAGATATAGGGAGCGTTTGCAACGTCTTTGTGTGGTAGTGTGAACTAGCTTGTCACCTGTTTGCTTCGACATTGGCAGTGGCGACAATGACAAACCTCATAGAAAAATATATTATCTTCATTGGAACTCATCGATGATATTCGACGAATATTTCAAACATCGTTTTGACATTATCTCAGTTCAAGAAAATTTTGTATTCACAGTCAGTTATGAATGGACGGCAATTAATAGAAGAAAAGTCAGTAGGTCAACCAATCAGTTTCAATTGTTTGGATTTCAGCCTTACCACAAACAAAAAGGAAAATGACCTACGATATTTGGCCTTAGCAACGGTTATCCATTCATATATTTACAATCGATTCGTAATATAACCATATAGTTCAACCTCGCAATCAACATTTCTTTCTTGTGTTCTTCTTCGATGGCTTTCACTCAATTTGATCAACTTCCTGTGGATATTCTCTATACTATTTTCAATTATTTCTATGCTCATGAGATTTTTATCGCTTTTCTTAATTTGAATACTCATCTCAATGCTGTTATACAATCTTACAGAAGCTATCGAGTCAATTTTCAATCAATTCTTCGATCACATTTCGATCTCGTTTGTCATTATATTCGATCTGATCAAATTTCGATATTGACATTGTCGGATGATAACGATACACCTGGTCAATCTCAACTTTTCTTATCTTATTTTCAACTCGATCAATGTATTCAACTTCAAGCACTCAAATTAGTTCGAATCGAATTGAAATCATGGAATACTATTCAAATATATCTGAACAAACTCGATCATCTTCGTTCATTAACACTGAGCCCTGAACTAGGTCAATCGATCATGATTGTACCAATTACACTTCAATTGAAACATTTGGTCATCTCGAATAAACATGTTTCACAAATAGTAAATATTGCCTGTCTTTATTCCTTAACCCTTTTTGACTGTTCATTGAATACACTTGAAAGTATTTGTCCATCAATGTTACAATTGCGAATACTGAATATCACTATCAAACACATTGAATCACACTTCAAATTTCCATGTCGATTACTTCATATCAGGCGTTTTCTTCTCAAAATCGAGAGTAAGTGATCAAAGTATTGTTGTTCGATGAGATCTTTCATATTTATTTATTTATTTATTTATCAGACTATCAAATATCAATGAATGAAATGGATGAACTTCTATCAAATTTTCCTCGCTTGAAACATTTCGAATTGTGCACAAATGCTTTTGATGATTTGGTCGATGGTAGACATGTGCGGGACCAGTCCCGGTCCCGGTCCCGGTCCCGGCCACCGGGACCGGGACCAAAAAATAGAATTTTACCGGGACCGGGACCAAAAAATAGAATTTTACTGGGACCGGGACCAGGATCGAAAAACAATTTAGTCCCGGTCATGTTTGCCGTTGATAAGAAACATCGGCGGAAATACAAGTGAGAACTGCTCCAGATCTAAAACCGGCAGATTCCGCAACAACTTCTCTGACTATGGACAAATAACAGAAAAAGTAAGGTTACTTAGACTGGGTGTAGAACAAAAACCAAATTTAACGCATTCGACGCGATTCGGTTTTATTAAAGAGTAGCTCTAGAGATTCATTTTCGTCTGCATTCATCTTGCGATAAATGCACTGCTTGGTCTTTTCATCCTATGCTGATCTGTCGTTTTCTCTTTTCCATTTGTAATATCACATGTAGCGAAGTAACCATTCTGTAGTTTGGCGAAACCCCTGTGAGGTCATTTCAGCATGACATGCCATTCGAGAAGTTGAATCAGCAACCCAATTCAAGCGCGAATTCACTAATCGCAAGCTCGAAGAAAAGGAAGGATTTAAGGGCAATGTCCGCAGACGCTGTACTGGCTGCTTTGCGAAAGGAAGGGCACAACAGTCAAGAGAAGCGAGCTATGCGGTAGCAAAGAAAGTAAAAACGTTCTGTTGTGAGTAACAATTTTTTTTGTCTTGATTTTTTTAACAAGACCCATCATGCTATGGAATAACGGACACAAAAAGAGTTCTGAAGGCAGAACAGATAAAGCTTTATGTTCAACCTCCTGTCTAAGAACAAAGAAAAATAAAGTACTTTTCTATACAGTTTCTCGTTAAAATGTAGCGTGGCTCACTGTTAGGCCACATCGTAGCGAATGTGTTAACTGAGCCCAGGACTAAAAAACAGAATTTCACCGGAATCAGCAGCAAAAGGAAAATTTCCACCGGGACCAAAGGAAATTTTCCACCGGGACCGGGACCGGGACCAAATGAAAATTTTCACCGGGACCCAAACCGGGACCAAAAAAAATTTACCGGGACCGGGACCGGACCGGGACCAAAAATTTAATTTCACCGGGACCGCGACCGGGACCGGGACCAAAAAAAGTTGGTCCCGCACATGTCTAGTCGATG